TCAGGAGGCAGTAAATGCTATGGAGAAAATTATAACAGAGGTTTGGGAGTACAGGGAAGAGACGGTCAAGTTACAATTTTCAACAGAATGTCTGGCCCAGGCTTTACTGGGAAAGCAACATTCCAAGGAGAGGTTGCAGCCAGTGCCAAGGCAAGCTGCATGTTCTCTGAGGACCTGCAAGAAGGCCAGAGTGGCTGGGGACAGTGAGCAGTATTGCAGTTTGGTCAGCATTGCAGTTGGTCCAGGGTGTTGTCAGTAGACAAGGAAAGCCATCTTAAAATATTACTATTTATTGATTCCACACAGCAGTCACTGCATCTTATTTTTAATAATATTCTGCATTGGATAGTCAGAGATCAAAATGGTTATGCGTGAACTAGGAAATTATCTTTTTTATGTGCAAAATGTAGTCAATTAAAAGTTAATTAACTGTATGGCATTTGCTGTATCAGTAAATTAGCTATAATAATACTTTTTGTTCTATCATTTTCCAGATTTATTAAAGTAAATAAAAATATGCTACATTTTTTACATATCTTCTTCCCCATATATATTGGTTCTAAGTCTTTCTACTTTTCTAAATAGATGTTTTGGTAGATTTTCTTTAAAAAGGCCCCTTGTTTCTAATGGTCCCATTTATTTCTATTTTCCTTAGTACAGATCTTCACTGTATTCTGGAAGGGATTTAGTTATTTCAAATATAATAGTTACAGCCCCTCACAAAGTAATTTTGGAATCATGAACTAAAGATTCTGATGTTTAGCACAAGTTTTGCTATAATATTTTTAACCTCTAATATATAAGAACTACCATTTGTGTAGTCTATATAAAGTTTTCTATTTCTTTTACAGGCTTCCACTTCAACCTCCCGATACTTATCCTTACCTAAAAATACAAAGCTTCCAGAGAAGCTACAAAAGAAAAAGAATATTTCAAATGCAGGTAATGAATTATACCTGGAGCAGAAAAACTTTATTTACTAATGCTTATAAAATAGAGAAATTTCCCTACTATTTTTCTTCATTAAGAACAAGTTAAATAGTTTGCAAATCTCAAATAATAACCTTTCACTAACATAGCAAACTTTTTGAGTGGCACTCTGGGCAGCTGATAGATAATATAATCAGTTGTTTTCTATAATGTTTCTATTTGATGTAGCCATAGTAAATATTCTCACCATGGGGTTAGCGTGCAGTTAAATAGAAAGTTGTAAGTCTGCAAATGTGTAAGTAATAAAATTTTTATAATAATTCTGATATATTTTCATAAAAGCTGTGATACTTCTGGCTGTAGTTATAAAGCTTTGTAATAAGGTCTAACATCTCTTTGTGTGATGGGAATCTTTATGTACACACCCAAACCATTTTCTGTGGACTCCAGAAGAACAATGTTAGGATTTCATGTTTTTAAAACATGAAATGTGGATGTACCAATAATTACCTTCCCTTCACTTTTTTTTTTTTTTGCTTACTTAATTATCTGAGAAGAGGGAAGTCTAGTGGTGGCTGGTGGTGATGAAGGGTGAGGTGGGAACAGGACGGGGAAGACAGGCAGCACTGGGGCTTTAGAACACTGGCCTGTGGTGCCACCGCATGTCCAGAATCCAGCAAACACATTCTCACTTTCCAAGAATCTCAACTCCTGGGCAAGCATGCAGTCAGCTTCCCTACCCACAGAACTCCAGCACCTGAATCTGGTTCTAATCCTGCCTCCTCCCTTTGTTTACAAAGTGTTTTGGCCCTTTTGTGAAAATATAAAAAAAAAAAAATCAGCAAAGCTGTGTATGAGATTCTAGGTCAAGGGGAGGTAATTACTAGACTGCTTACAGTGTGCCACATGCTGAGCTGAGCCCTCTTGGGATCATTCCTGTAGGGCAGGTGAGCACAGCCACTGCAGCCAGAAAGTCTCAGTTGAAACTCCAGCTCCACTACTTACTAATATCTCCTGAACCTACTTACCTTATCTGTAAAATGGGAAGATCAAATGGGCGAATGCATTTGAAAGGGCTTAGGACAGTGCCTGGCACACAGTAAGCTCTTCAAAGTTAGCATGAGTACTCACTTGTGAGCATGGACGCTCTCAGAGGTCATGCAAGATGTCCACAGTCGCTCAGCTGGCGTGAGAGTGAGCCCTCTGACCTCCTTCTCCCCAGAGTCCCAGGACAGATGTGCAGTTGCATGACCCACTAAGGTATTGAAGTCCCTTGGAATGCCTTTTCTCTAAAGTGCTTGTCCACTTCTCTCTTTTGCATTATGGCAGATGGCAATAGCAGTGACTCAGATACAGACGCAGGGACCACCGTGCTCAATTTGCAGCCCCGATCCAGGCGCTTTTTGCCAGAACAGTTCTCTAAGAAAGCACCCCCGTCTTATAAAATGGAATGGAAGAACGAAGTAGATGTTGATTCCAGCCGGGGGCGGCCCAGTACCCCGCCAGCACCCCGCAGCAAAGAGGGGGGCACGCAGACGCCGGGCTTACTACGGCAGCCCCTTCTCTCCAAAGACCAGTTTGGCCCTGGGAGGGAAGACAGTTTGACTGAAGGCGTCCCACCCAAGCCACCACCGAGGCTGGTCCGGAGGGCATCGGAACCTGGAAACCGCAAAGCCCGATTTGGGAGCGAGAAGCCTTGAAGGACACAGCCAAAGGAGCCCTGAGTGACTGGCCCAGCTCGGCTGTGGTTTGTTACCCCGGACCCTGGCACAGCCATGGAATCCACTTAAAACTGTGCACCTAGATACTTTCCTTGGGTGGTAGAGTCATGCCACTGATGAATGGGATGAATGCTTATCTCAAGAAAAGGAAAATGAAAGAAAAAAATGCCCCACGAAATGCCTTTTGTGACTTGTGGCTAGCGACCGTGTTCTTTGCGGGCCTGAAGGAAAAATAGTGTGCCTTTATTGAACTTGAACGACAGAACTTGAAATTTTTAATGCACCCTTGTTAGTGAAAATTTTAATATATTACATAAATGTCTCAAATTTTATTTATGGAAAAAATATGTATATCTGTAATCAGTTTTTAAGTGAATGGCACTAAAAGTACGGAGGATGTCTGTGCAGGGGTAGAGAACGGTTCCGGGGGGACAGGTCCCAAGCTCAGGCCAGGGGCCTATCCCTGTGCTGAGCTGATGGACCAGGTCCTCCGCAGAGACATCTCCTGACTGGAACCGGGAGAGCACCAGAGCGCCCCGGCAGACGCAGTGGCCTGGCTCCCAGAGCCCAGATGGGAGGTCCCAGGATGCTTATGAAATAATGAGAATCAGCTGGTTTTCAATTTGTTCCTCTGTTGTGTGTTTAGGGGTGACCTATAAGTTCCATCTCCCCTTCTTGGTTAAGCGGTGCAAAGAGGAGCGCTGCCCGGGAGAAACCAGCTTATAGTGTTTGACAGAACTGGTGGCAGCTTTTGATGAAGTTCCACCCGAGAGGGCCCATGTGGCCACTGGGGAGTTGGGGCAGTGCCTGCTTACAGCTCGTGGGTGGGTTTTTTGTTGTGCAATACTCGGAGGAGGGTGCAGGTGATTCCTTTCTTGCCCATCTAGGACCACCTGCTTCAGTAGAATTTTTCTGTAAAACATTCTTTGAACTTGGAGCCTCCAGGTAAGATGAAAATTTCTATAAATGTTATTCCAATGTTTAACAACTTGGTGAGATTTCAGGTTTTGAATTTTATTCAGGAAGCACTTTGGAGACAGTGGGAGCCCTATTTTCTTTGCACTAGTCTGTCACTTGTTACCTCTCCCCGTGCAGTAATACAGTAACTCGAATATTTCATATAGAATTGGAGTCTACTCATTGGAGTACTTTTTAAGAGTACAGCAGAGAGAAAAGAAGTAGAACAGCATCATTAAAGATTAGTATTTGAATCTCTGTCTCTTAAACTGTAGGTTTTACTGGGCTGTCTTTATAGGTGTTAATGAAGCCACTCATGTAGTCTCTTGGTTTCACATTGGAGATACAGCAAAGGATACAAGTGCCCAGAGTGTTATTGGGTGAACATGAATAAATTAGGCAAAAAGACACAATCCTCAGCTGTGGGTCTCCATGCCCACCAACGTGGAGTACTGAACCTTCTACCCCTTTTTCTCATGTTCTAAAACTTTAGAATACTGCTAGATTGTTGGGCATGAGACAGAGCGAAAAACAGACCTATACAAGGCCTATGTTCATAAGAGCACAGTTTCTTAATCAGTGGAAAGTAGTGTAGGATGCAATTTGGAAGCTACAAGCTTAGGGCTCTGTGCCAAAATCTCAATTTTGAATTGAATGAAAATATTTATATAAATGAAAATATTTATATAAATGAAAATATTTATATAAAAATATATTTCTTCTGAAGACAAAACTGTCGTATATATTATAAAAATATGATTAAGAGATATGATATATATTTTTGAGAATGCCAAGAGTCAATTTTTAGAATACTTACGGTTTGTGACATCTGAAAAGGCGGAAATTGAAAATGACCTTAAAAAATAAATTTCCTGATTTCTCCAGGTTTCCTATATTAATAACTATTATAAGGAGTTTAACTTTCTGGAACTGAAGGAGAAAACATGAAAGTTTCTATATCACTTCTTGTTAAGCAGGTAGACCAAATTCAGCTTTCAGTCATTAAAAGTCACAAAAAGAATTTGGATGACGGTGTATAAATTTCTGAAAAGCAACACCTAAGTCACTTGATCTTAATTATTATCAGTTTAAATTTTTCCTTATTTGTTGAATGAAAAGGCAATAAAAATAAATTTGACTTCGTTTAGCTTTTCTCTATACTTTCTTCTTTTTGTAATTATTAAGTTCTAGTTACCATAGAAAGAGTATGAAGGTGAAACTCTTATAACTAAAGTACCATAAAAATCTAAATTTCTGTAGTACGGAGATCCACGGCCCTTTGTAAATGACTCCCCTTGTTCAAACGTTTGACCCAACCAGAGATCCAACGTGGCTGAGAATTTTGATAGGTCTTCAGTGTTGGTTGTAACAAAACTTAATTCAAACTACCTGTAAGTAAAAAGTCAGAGTTTATTGGTTGCTTTATATATAATGCTAAGGGCCGACCATTGCAGACAGTTATGCCAGTTAGCAAACTAGAAATTGGCCTCAAAGTCTAATACTTTCAAAAGTATGTGTTTTGTGTGTATGCCCCCGAAATGTCTGTGATGAACTTGCAGCTTTTGCTAAGCTTTGCAGTGGGGGTGTAGGGTTTTACCTGGGGAGTGGGGGTGTGATTTATATAAAAAGCATAAACACTTGGTGTATGTCTCAGCACATTTTGAATTTGTCGCCCTGCCTGAATCATGTTTATGTTAAAACTGCCATTTCGTAAATCAACTATGAAAACTGTAACATTTTTGTTTGTTCAAAGTGCACACTGGACTTTATTCTTAAGAGTGATTAAAGCGATTACTTTGTCCAGAGGAAGTAGCTATTGGAATTATCTGCTGAGGCCTGAACACCCCGGGCTGATTTCTTCATCCACCTAAACAAGAAAGCTTGTGACTCAGAACAGACTGTGATCTGGAGTTTTGTTTCTCTTTTGTTCACTTTTAGAGCAAAGTGTGTAGCTCTTTGCTACTTTATATCCTACTTTTTATTAGCCAGGCCCTTTCTTCAATCCCCTTCTAAGGAAAGCAGAAGACCCATTTGGGTAACGGCTGTGTGGCACCAACCATGGCTCTTTGTCCCTGACAGATGACAATTTCCTTCTGGATTCCTCTGATATCCTGTTCGCCATACCTAGCTGACTTCCTCAGACGGGGTCAGCCGCCACAGGGACGTGCAGGTGAAACACATCCAGGGGAGTTTCCGAGGTTTTTAATGTTGTGCTGGCACATCATTTTTTGATCCCTTTTGTTTTCTAATTTTCTGCAATTTTTCAGATAAAATTCTATTTTTACTACCTCTAAGTATAGCCAATGAATTGTGAGTCTGCTCTCTTAACTGTATGGTCCGGGAATGAGTTTTTCTAGGTGTAGAGTTAACCTATCTCCTGTAAATGGATTATTATTACATTTTCAATCTACACAGCATATGGATTATTTTGAATGGTTCAGAATCTACTTGAAGACCTTTCAGTATGTCTCAAAGGTTTTATGGGAATCTCTTCTCCTCCTACTGTAGGATGCAGAAATGCCGCTCCATGTCCCAGTACACAGAATGCCAGAGAGCAGTGATGATTTTTCTGATTTTCACTTCTGTAACAAAATATCTTGAATTAAAAATACAAATATTTTTCTCCTTTTTTATTTCATTGGCTTCTTGAATTGTAAGTGTGACTGGTAACTAAATTTCTAATTTAAATGAGGCTATTTGCATCCAGTTAGGGTAACTCTGTTTGCTACGCAAATTTTATATATATACATACCAACAAAGCAAATTTTTCCTTGTTTCTATGAAAAGTCTTACAAAAGTTTAAATACTAAATCACACATAAATAATCACTTATGGAGAAAATGGTATATTACATGAAAACAGAATGGTCCCAGACATCCCAAATTTTGTATTTATATATCAAAGTACTCATTTGTACTAAATGGGATTACGATAGCTCGAATTCTTGAAAGGTAAAAATTTTAAGAGTATTAAAAATTTCAATTCTATTAGTTTCAAATACATATATCACAAACTGGGCAAACTCTGTTACTGAGTAACAGAACTTGATCAGAGGAATTACATTTTAATTGGTTCATTAATTTTCTATATGTAAATAGACCCTTACAAAGGGTTCAAAAATAATGTATGCTCTGAAATAGTAAATATTGCCTTCCCAAGCCAACACAAACAAAAAAAATTAATGCCAATCATTGTCTTACCAAATGATTTTTAAAGATTATGCAGAGCTATGTATCAACACATCAAATTGTAGACTTTCACCAATACATAGTTTGCACGTGATTAATAAACATTTACTATATTTGCTACCATAATTGCTTCTTACTGGTTGGCCATCTAGTTTAAGTCTTTTCCTTTAGCTAGAAAGTTATTTTTTTTTTTTTTTTTTGAGACAGAGTCTCGCTTTGTTGCACAGGCTAGAGTGAGTGCCGTGGCATCAGCCTAGCTCACAGCAACCTCAAACTCCTGGGCTCGAGTGATCCTTCTGCCTCAGCCTCCCGAGTAGCTGGGACTACAGGCATGCGCCACCACGCCCGGCTAATTTTTTATATATATATATTAGTTGGCCAATTAATTTCTTTCTATTTATAGTAGAGACGGGGTCTTGCTCTTGCTCAGGCTGGTTTCGAACTCCTGACCTCGAGCAATCCGCCCGCCTCGGCCTCCCAGAGTGCTAGGATTACAGGCTTGAGCCACCGCGCCCGGCCTAGAAAGTTATTTTGAATGGCAGTTACAACATGGTATATGTCCAGTGTGTTGTATTGATTCAGAAGAGATGGCATGGGAAGGCACTTTGAAGGTGACCCAGAGAAAATGTTCACCTTGTCAGAGACTGACCCTGCCAGAAAGATTGTCATGCCTAGACCTGTGCGTCAGCCACATGGAACAGACTTCTTAAGGCAAACGCATACCTGGTCGTGTGCACACAGATCCACAAAAGCCACGCCCTGTAGTTAGCAACAGAGCACCTTTATTACATTAAGTTTATTTAGGATATTCCATGTGGTTTCAGTTTCACTAAACAAACTCTGGATAGGTTTAGGTAAACTATCACACCAAAAGTAATTCTCAGTCTGGATAAGAGCCTGAGTGTCAACTATTTAAAATAGAGATTCTTTGATAAGCCTGAAGAAAAGTTATCTCCTATCTGTGTCATAAATTACAATCAACAGGGATTTTAACTTTTTTTCCTCTGCAGTATGTTTTGGAAAAGGGTAGTTTAAATCAAGACTGGTCAAAATACAATTATTTGTTCAAATAAGATCCTTATAGTTCATTGTTATGCTATGTAAGTTCTAAGTAGTAATTAACACTCCTTCCTTAATGTTTATAATTATCTCCTCCCCTCAAGGAACAACAAAAGCTGTTTTAAAGTCTCTTTTCAAAATAAGAATCAGCACTATTTCTTACAATGTACTGAATTCAGAAAACAGAAGTTTTGTTTTTATTGTTTTAATAGAGAGCTATTTATATAATGGTGAGTTTAGCTGATCTGTTTGGGGGGAAAAAAGAGGTCTAAAGTAAAAAATGTTTTAAAAGATGTTAACGTTTGTGTATCTGTCTAATTAGAAATAAGTCCTATTGTGATATTATCTTAAAATTACAGTTGACCCTTGAACACAGGGTTTGAATTCCATGGGTCCACTTGCGCTTATCTGCCTCTGCCTCCCCTGAGACAGCAAGACCAACCCCTCCTCCTCCTCAGTCTATTCAACATTAAGATGAACAGGATGAAGACTTTTATGACAATCCACTTCCACTTAATAGTCAAAATATTTTTTCTTTCTTATGATTTGAACATTTTTTTCTCTAGCCTACATTATAAGGATGTATTAATAGTAATACACGTAACACACAATATCTCTATCGACCATTCATGTATTAGTGAGGCTTCTGGTCAGTAGTAGGCTATTGATAGTTAAACTTTGGGGTCATCAAGAGTTACACTTGGACTTTCAACTGTGTGAGGGGTTGGTATCCCTAAGCTCCACATTCTTCAAGGGTCTACCTACTGGCTATCAATACTGAATAAATTTCAGGTTATGTATATATTTGATATTAACGGTTTTAAAAAGCCAAAGGCTATTTTACCATGAAGATGTATTTCTAGCATACTGGAGATGCAGAATTGAAATAGCAGTATACAACAATGACTTCTAAAAATACAATTTATTAGAATAAATAATAGTACTTTATCACAATTACAAGGGATTTTATTATTGAAGAAAATTATCGTGACTGGCAAGTTCTTCAGTAAAAAAAAAAAAAAACACAATAATTTAGGGCTGAAAAAAAGTTTTTTTTTACTCTATCATGCTGTTCCAAGAGCTGCATTGTGCCTCATCCTGGCTAGGTCAGTGTTAACCCTATTTCAACTTCTGAAAGGCTAAAGCGAAGTTAGCTTTTCGTGGGGAAGAGGGTGTACAGAATCACCCTCAAGGCTTTTACTGCCATCCTGATAGATTGCTAAACATCTTATAGAAGTGTTTTCAGGAAAAGACCCCAAACAACTCCTTGAAACATCTTTCTCAATGTTCCACGCTCACCACCTGCCTTACCTAAGCTCCACTGGAGCTCTGCCCAGACCAGACACCTGGGCTAACTCGCAGTCCCTCCTGCAATCACCCCAAAGGCCACAACCTCCACCTGCTTCCCCCATCCTAGCACCCACCTCTCCCTCAGGGGCCGCCTGAATTACTGCCCCAAGCCCAGACTGCTCCTCTCGGCCTCCAGCTAATCCTCCTTGCTGTAGCCAAAGGGATCTTTCCACAATGTGAATGCCCTCAGGGCACTTCCCAGCAGGAATTCTTCAGCTCTGCCCCCTCATCTGTCAATAAAAATCTCAACCTCTGAGCATGGCAGGTGAGTCCCTCCTTGCTTGAATCGAGTGATTCTGAAATCCAGGTGTGCACAGACACCCAGGGACTTTAGGTTCTGGTTTCTGTGGCCGTGGTCTAATAAGGCAAGGGTCCCCAACTTATGGTGAGTTGTATAACTATTTCATTATATATTACAATGTAATAATGATAAAGTGCACAATAAATGTAATGCACTCGAATCATTCCGAAACAATCCTCGCCCCCCATCTGTGGAAAAATTGTCTTCCATGAAAACGGTCCCTGGTGCCAATAATGTTGGGACCACTGGTCGAAGCCATGCAGCCAGGCTAGAGCATCAGTGATTCTAGCCCCTTCTGCTGGCTCCAGGTATAACCCTTGCAGACTTCACTCCCTTCATGAGCCTAGGTTTAGAGCCTTGCATTTCTGTGGCCAGATGCACCTTTGCTTCCTTTCTGACTTCTACTCAGCCCTCTAGACATGAGGGCAGAGGTGCACATTCCGCCCTGTGGGAAAAGCCATCCTCTGGAAGCCCAAGCCCTGAGACCAGCTCCACGGCACAGGTAAGACTGGCGTAGTGTTGGAAAGGGTGCCGTTTCCTTCAACATTTCAGGCAAGTTCAATACTTGTAAAATAAGATTCCACACAATATTAAGTTGAACCATGTGAAGATATTTTAGACTTACAAAAATAGCAATTCCATGTGGCTCAACCTGACAACTTTGAAAAGGATTACAAAAAAATTACTCCAGAGAATTTTAAAAACAAAACAACATAAATGTGAATTGTGCCTTTCCCTGAGATTCTGCTCCATAAATGATACAAATACTACCCATTCGACTACAGGTTTTCAAACTACTGTGCAAACAAATCAGCTAGGTCCTGTTAAAATGGTCCCCAGTAGGTCTGACCTGGGGCTGGGGGGTCTGCCTATCCAGCAAGCGCCCAGGTGAGGCGGCCGCTGCTGGTCTTCAGATCACACTGGAAACACCACGACGTCAGACGGTGTAAGAGAAACCACAAGAAAATATTCACCTAAAAACAATCACATGAATAAAACACCAAAATCACTAGTGGAGAATAACGAAAATGTTTCTATACGCTATATTCTACGATTCATCTTAGGTTTTCAGTATTTTCATGTGTCTAATTATAAAGCCTCATTAAGTTTATGTGCTTAACTTCAAAAATAGAGGGCTATGATTTTAAAGTAAAACCACAGCTATATCCAAGAGCTTTTCAGAAACTTGCCTGTTTCTCAGAGTGAAGAAAGGACAATCTCTGGAGAAACTCTTCCGAAATTCTACTTCATTACATACACCCTTGCCTATTTACTGCCTTTTGAGTCTAATCTCCATGACATTTAGTATGCTCCTTCTGGGCAAGACCATTTTATGTAATATTTTGATCTCCTCAAAAGCATTTAGTGCTGGTGTAAAAGTTCATAATTGTAGCACCTAATACAAAGTTCATTATTTTTCTTGTAGCAACACAGGAAAAAGGACAATCTTAAAACTAAAGCATACTTCCAATTAATTATCATAAAAATTTGGGTTTACCCCACACACAACTATGGAAATGTTTTCTGCTTTACAAACAATATCAAAGTTATGGCAAATTACTGTAGTGTATTAAAATGTCATTTATAATTATACGTGTGTTAGGCTGAAAACAGGCATAACCTCCTAGTGGACTAATTAAGAAAAATAAAAGGAATGTGAACTTGGGAAGTTTGTGAAGAAAAGAGGACCCTCTAAATAACTTTTACTAATGCTCAACGTGATCCTATGGTTGGCATGCCTGGCCCATACCCTCTGAGAGCTCCAGCTAACCCTCACAGCAGCTTAGGGAAGGCCTAGGAAAAGGATCGTCAAAACATTTCCCTGTAGATGAAAACAGTTCTCCTCTTTTCAGATGTGAAATGAAAATGAAATAAAAGAAACGACTCTTACCACAAGACACGGTACAATCAAGTTGTCTGATCTGGCACACCAGCTGTGCCTTACTCCGTATAAATTGTTCATCCTAAAAGCATTCCTGGGTTTGGGCTTCAAGCCCCAGGTTGTCAGCACCAGAATGATAGAACAAAACTGGAACGCAGGCTTCTGGGAACAGAGCGATGGCCATGCCTGACGTCCAGGTGTGTTGAGTTCGTCCCTGAACAAGCTCAGCCCTCAGAGGCAGGGAACACAGGGGACAGGCCCCAGGAACCCCCTTCCCCTGTTACACAGCACAACTGCTGAGAGCTGGGAAAAGTGTAACACATTGTGATTACAAGCACAATTTCAGCAGTCCACATTTAGTTAGCTGCACAAAAACAGCCATGCCTCTGGCTTTTATTCAAAAATCAGTATTATCTCAGTGTGATCCTTTTTCAACCTCCATAGAGATCACAAGTGGTGCTCACTGACCACCTGCAGATTTCTGGGCCCCAGCCAGGCCCCCTGAATCAGTCTCTGGGGGTGAGGTCAGCATCTAATTTTTAACCAGCTTTGAGAAAGTGGCAGGCTGGCTTTAATGAAGCAGATTCTTCAATCTCTAGGATTTTGATGGCAGAAAACTTCCTTTTAGCATATGAAACTTAACTCGAAACTCATGTTGCAGCTGATCAGCATTTCACTAACATGTTACCCTATTTTTAATAGGGAAATGCTTTGTGGTTTCTTCTAGTCTTCCACGTATCACGTTCTGTTATTCTACCACCATTTGCCTATCTTGTAGCCGGCAGCTTTTTTTCCCTTGAAAACTTTAGTTTCATTGGGCTGGGCGGGAAGAGGAGACTTCAGGTAAAGCTTCGCTCCAATCTCCACCTCCCCACGTGCTGCGGTGATTCCTGATCACCCACAGGCCTAACTGCGCAAAGTGGAGGGCCACCTGGAAGCCCAGGGACAGGGCACACCCACCTGGAAATAAGTTTCCCTCCCACGGTCCACCCTGTCCAAAGCGCCCTTTCGCATTCTAACCTCTGTCCCTGATGCAACCACCTCAAATCTTGTGCTGCCCTCCGAATCCGCTCTATTCAATTTTTAATTTATCCCTCACGTCGCCACTAGAGCGAGGTTTGTTCAGAGACATGATGAAGACAGCCACCAAGGCTAACGCGACCCCCAGACTCGGGGGGCCGCAAGGGCTGACCTCCTGTGCGACGCCTGAGAGGAGAGGGGCGATGATGCGGCCCACCGCGGTCACCGACTGCCCCATGCCTATGAGGGTGCCGCTGGCCTGGGCCCCGCCCACGGTGAGCTGGAGGTCGGTGATGCACGTCCTGCCGATGGCGGTGGAGAAGGACAGGAGAGTGGAGGAGAAGACGACGGCGCCCACGGTCGGGGCCGCGGAGTAGAGCAGCAGCAGGGCGCAGGTGAGCGCGCTGGAGTGCAGCAGCAGCGCGTGCGCGTCGTGCTTGTACAGCCGTAGGATGGGCCCCAGCGCGAAGCCCGCGGTGGCTCCCAGGGCGCTGCTGTAACTGATGAGGTAGCCTGTCACCTTGGGCCGCACCCCGAAGCGCTCCTCCAGGGCCAGGACGAAATTACTGTAGTACAGCATGACTGCCACAGCCATCAGCAAGCGCACCAGAAATATGTCCCACATTTCAGAGAACATCAGGCTCTTCATGTCCTGCAAGGCCGACACCACGGCGACCCAGGGAGGCCGGGCAGCCTTCTCCCCAGTCCTGGCCCCACGGGTGGTGGCTGCTTCCTGTACGCCACAGTCACTTTTCCCAGACAGCAGGTGGGTCTTACCCCAACGCAGGCCATTTCCTGCACTGCCCAGTTTTGCTTCACTCCACGGTAACAGCCAAACAAGACCTGTTAAAATGGCATAAGACCTCTTAACTTACTGAATTCAGACAGTGCCTCCTCAGGGAAGAGGCAATTACTTGCATTAGGTTACACATCTATATTTTTGTACTAGATTTACTAGTCTGTAGTTTTAAATCCAGTTTTTCACCATTCCCACAGCTCCATTTTGACATCAGGATTCTGGCAAAAGGCAATTTACCTTTAAACAAGAACATCAAAACTATACCTACAAAATATTCTGTTTTCTCCCCAGCTCAAGAGCCTATGATGGTTTCCTATAACCCATCATTTCATATGTAAATTGTTATAAATTTAAATTCTCCCCTTCATTAACTAATTCTCTATCAATCACCTGCTCATCTATCTGTCCATCTAACCATCCGAACATCCAATATTCATGAGTGCTTCTTAAGCTAAACACCGGGAATATATTAACCAACCAGACAAAACCTATGAAATCCTTGTACTCAAGGAACTAAAACCTAAAGGGGGGTTCGGATAAGTAAACAGGCAACTAAATGACAACAAAAGGGCCGTTCTGGGGAGGCACAGGCTGCTATGTGCAGCAACAGCCAACCTTGGTTTGGGGGCTGGGCAGGGACAACCTGTCAAACTGTCCCTAACAAGCACCTGCTCGGATCCTCCCCGAGTCAGTTGTGCTTCTGTAGGTCATAATTGCAAAATCTCAGGGGAAGCCATTTTCGTAGATCATGACACACAACCTTACACAGCAGATATGACTGCCACTCAGATAATAATACTTCAGCTCTCATGACAGCACGTTCTTGCCTGCTGTTTTATTTATCCCATGTCATCCAAGTAGAATGATCCCTTCCAATCAATGTCCAAAAATGTTCTTAAAACTGAATTCAAACTTGCCATTCTAGGACATCCTTCCAAACTCCCTACTGGTTTTTCATTCCTTCAGCACTTAAAGTTCAACTCAGACCAGTGGCTTTTCAGTGATGCTTCATGTTGTTTTCAGTTCTGTCACTTGTGTTTGTAGTTTTTCCAAAGCATAGTGTATGTGCTTTAGCCGTGGACAAATTTATGACAGAAAACTAAATACATGAGAACACAGATATGGGCTTTTCATCTATTCATTTACTCATTCAATATCATGGAGCATCTGCTGTTATATCTGGCCTACAAATCAGCAAAGTGAAAAGGCAACTGGGAAACAATCAGTAAAGTGAAAAGCAACCTATGGAATGATTTACAAATCATATTATCTGATAAAGGATCAATATCCAAAATATATAAGATACTCCTATAACTCAACAGCAAAAAAAAATAAACTGATTAAAAAATGGGCAAAAGATTTGAATAGATATTTCCCCAAAGAGTAGCCAACAGGTATGTAAAAAATTGCTCAACATCACTAATCATCAGGGAAATGCAAATCAAAACTACAATGAGAAATCACCTCATACTTGCTAGGGGAGCTGACATAAACACACACACACACATATATACTGTGTATTTATATATGTGTGTATATGTGTGTGTATATTTATATATATATGTGTGTTTGAGTATAAAACATAAGGAGATTAAGGAAGATATAGAGGAAAGGGAATCCCTGTACATTGCTGGGGGAATGTAAATAGGGAGGTTCCTCAAAATAAGTTTCATTTTCGGACAATGAGTCTGCCTATTCTGAGAAAAACAAATCATAAGGTAGCATGGTCAGTATGAGTACACAAAACAATCTTCTCATGATAAATGTCAACTTACCAGCATTGAGAATGAAGACAGAAAAACAGATGAAGGCTGTAAGATAAAACCCACCATCTAATTCAGTGAGATAGCCCCCGACCATGGGGCCCAAGATGAAGCCCACACTGGATGCTGTATTGAAGTGCCCGATTACGATCGGCCGTTCCCTCTCTGCAACCAGATCAGAAAGCAGAGCCCTCGAGATGGAGAGGGTGTGTTTAAAAATACCTGCAAGGGGACAAGAAGCATGCACTGTAACTTTTTCCAGACCCAAAGGGTCTCCCTTGTGATGCTGTGCTAATCTCTACTCCTGAAGGAGTTCTCATGTGAACTTTTCTGAACCTCTGAGACCTTGCAGGGTCCACCCCATCATAATGAAACTACTGGTCTAGCACCACTTTCCTAGCCAGTCACTTCATCTTTAGCAACCAAGCCCCTAAGCCCTTGCTTGCCCGTCTCCTGTCATAATGTCCCAGCTCCTCCAGACCTGTTATCCAACTGCAATTCCTGGTGGCTTCCACGGGGTGAGTTTCCACTCTTTATTCATTCACTCACTGAACCATATTCACTGCATGCCTACTGTATGGCAAGCACAGATCTTGACACTGGGTATAAAGCAAGGAACAGAGGCCAAAATATATATATATAAATATATATAAATAGGTATCACCACCCTCATAGAGCCTGCATTGTCACTGGGGGAACAGAGAGATTTATTAGAAGGTGATAAAGGCTATGGAGAGAAATAAAGCTGGGAAGAGGACAGGGAGTGAGCAGAAATCTGCTGGCACAGTCATCCAACCAATACAAATGGATTTTCTGCCAGCAAGAGGCTTGTGAATTTGTTGACCAAACTGAAAACTGGGACATGACTCTTAATAACAGATTAAAGTGAGTAACAACTTTACACTCCTCATACTTCAGCAAATGTTTCATTCCTGTGCACCTAGATACCCATGTAAACAACACACTTGTAAACATGCTGACGGATTTCACTACTTTGATCAATACATATTAGGAATTCAATGAATGTTGCTGGTGGGTCTGCTTGAATTACTCTTGACTTGTGATGTGACACATAGTTTTCAGTGATCTCCTGCAGGCAGTCTCGCCCTGCATAACACTGTACCACTGTATACTTCAACACACTGGTCCTATTAGTCTATTCCCAGCTTGGCCTTAAAATTAGTGTGCGTGTCTGCCCAATAACCAGCCTCTTTGGAATCTCTTTCAGAATTAGGTAGATGGATTCTCTCTAGATAGTCCATTTCCTTAAATGTCAGGAAGGACTGAGCCAGAAGATGATTCCTAAAAGTCGTACAGGAATCCTGTGATTATTTTTGAAATTTTATCAATGTCAGGTTCACCTTACACACACAAGGGAAGAGAACTGTGGTAAGTGCACCTACGAACAACTCAGCCTAGGCTCCTCTTGTCTTTCAGAGGTTAGGGTGGTGGACAAAGAGGACAGGGGAAAACCAGGTGGCCAAGTCAGGTACTTCAACCTCAGGCACATTCATAGTCAGTGGCTCATTTTCAGGAAATAAGGATCTGAATCCACAACTGACTTTGTGCAGCAGAACCCTGGTGAAGCTCCCCAGGGTTCCCTTCTGTTCACAGAACACCAAACACTGGAGGTTACAGGGGCAAAAAAAATTTTTACATGCGGCTCTCCTTGTTCACAAAATTTGTGATGTTCATGTAACAGGACTATCACTACTTAAACCAGGCTCATTTCATATTTAATAAAAACATTTTGGCTGGGCGCAGTGGCTCATGCCTGTAATCCTAGCACTCTGGGAGGCCGAGGAGGGAGGACTGCTCAAGGTCAGGAGTTCGAAACCAATCTGAGCAAGAGTGAGACCCCGTCTCTACTATAAATAGAAACAAATTAATTAGCCAATTAATATATATAGAAAAACTTAGTCAGGCATGGTGGCGCATGCCTGTAGTCCCAGCTACTTGGGAGGCTGAGGCAGTAGGATCGCTTGAGCCCAGGAGATTGAGGTTGCTGTGAGCTTGGCTGACGCCACGGTACTCACTCTAGTCTGGGCAACAAAGTGAGACTCTGTCTCAAAAAAAAAAAAAAAAAATGTTAATCCTCCCCATATATCTCTACCCATTTTGTAACAAACCTAGGTTCTTATTCATCCCCCTCATCTGTTTCTTTATAATTATGAACAGTACATACCACTGAATGGTGGAGTGTATTATACTGTAGAAAGACATATTGCCAACCAAACCAAGAATAATAAATTTGATAGAAGGGGCACATGGAACATCTGTCAATTGGATTTTGTGTGCGGTGGTGGATTTGTTAGGATAATTAACCACATTTAAGCAAATACCTACATAAAGCATTTTTTTTCCTCAGTCAACCAAAGAGCACAGTATGAATTTTGGAGTGTAAACTCAATAGACTTTAAGAGTTCATATATATGCCACAGAAATGGTGTAAAAATCCATAATGAGTTGACCAGCTGTATGTTAAAATGCCTTATTTTATGCTCTATTCATTTGGAGTGTTAGTTAAAAATGTCAGCTTCACTGAATATGGGCAGATGTCCAGTGCTGTAGACTTGTTGACCAGAGTAGAAAAGTCTGTTGGTGCTCTAATCGGCAAAACGTTTCAGTGAATGGACAAAATAAAATGTTAGAAATGGCCATGACCATTCTGGAGACAGAAAGCTTAGCCATGTGCTGGTACATCAGTGGTCAGAGATACAGAAGGCTACAGGAGAGCTAAAGAGGTAAATTTCAATTTGAAGTTGGGAAGCCCAATTATAAAACTATAAGCTCACCGAGGGAGGGAATGGAAACCACAGTGCTGGCCAAAGACATTTAACAAATTCCTACTGACACAATGCAGAGCCGCAGCAACAGGAAGGAGGCAGGTCCTGACATAGTAGCACAGTCGTTCACACTGACAGCCCTGAAAGCCTCTGGGCTCCAGCAAGTACAAGGTTCTTAGCTTTGTCAAGTAGACAGAGCACCCAGCCATGCTAATCACTCAATCAACAGCAGCTGCTGTGTCACAGTTATCGTTGTCATTGCTGCTGTCATTATGCTCTCTTTATGTAAGCACTAATCAGAGGCAATGTCAGGCAAGAACAGGGTTTATACACAGAGACAGAGATTGAGTTTGAATACACACACACACACACACACAAGGGCCAGAATTCACCTGCAGGAACTCTAGCCAGGACAAACAGGAACACGTTGGTGGCAGCTCCAAGGAGGAGATAGCCCAGGGCACTGAGCAGAATGCACACCAGCAAGGAAGCCCGTCTTCCCGCCACGTCGCTCCAGCAGCCCTGAGGAAAGCAAGAGACAGAGAGCCCTTTAACTTGCTCCAGGGTCGCCCAGAACCACTACCATGCAAATACCCAAAACAGAGCGACCCAGTGGAAAATGTCAGAGGAGCTGGTTTAAGTTCCTCAGATGCTCAGTTCCGTTATGCCACTTGCCAGAGTCCACTATTTGCTCTGGTCCTCCACAGAGTGACTCGAAAAATACCACGTAGTTTTCTTTGTCCAAAGAAAAGCCTGATGATCTAGTACCTAAGAATGGCTGGAGAGACCAGGAAGCATAATTTACAAAGCCTTGGTTTTATCTTTCATTCTCATTACTTTATACAACTAAACTCCCCAGAAACCATGTTTGCTGTTTAGAAATTTTGAAAATACTGAAAAATCAAATGAAGAATACAAAAATACCTCACAATCCCAAACCTACTTATATATTTTTAACAAAGTGATCATGCAGTACAGTATTTTGTAACTTGCTTTCTTAATTAACATGACTGGAATATCATTGCATGTCATTAAAAATCTGCCTCTGTGATTATAATCATATTCCATATTCTACTATGTACCAACATTTACTCAACAAATCTACCTTTTGTTCAATTTCTGGTTCATTTCAATTTGTAAAAACCACAAATAATGCTACAATAAGCATCCTCACAGCAAACTCCATTCTTGAAAATTTCCTTAGAACAAATTCCTGGAATTGGATTTGTTAGGTTAAAAGGCAGGCATATGTTTAGGCATCTGACATACACTGACAAATTATTCTCCAGAAAGATCTATAACCCCACATACAATGTAGTTAGGAGGGTCTCCATTTCCCCATATTTCAACCAATACTGGGTACTGTCAATTTTTTAAAAATCTGCAAATTTGGTAAGTGGCATATTTTTATTATGTTTACTTTTTTCCCTGATGAGAATATTTTTTTTTTAATGTGTGTACTGACTATTTGCATTTCCTCTTGAGAGAAGCAAGCAGCGGGTGTCTGCCAGTTATAACTCCTACATTCGGGAAGCCTCAGGGCACTGCCAGGTGTGGGCTGCCCTCTGAACCATCCTGAAGGCACCTGAGGATGTCCAGTAAGACCACAGAGGTGGCCCAGGATGAAGCCTGCCTAGCGGGGAATGATAAGCTTCACAGTGACGGTGACTGGTTGAACACCCTTTCTAGCTCATTACTGCAAGACCTCCATGTCCTGTAGTAACAGGCCTGGTTAAAAACAAGCCTTACTTGCACATTGAAAGCTCTGGTCTATAAAGATACAACTGGAAGTCACTGGGTGATGCTTCTAAAAAAGTTCTTTAGAGGTGAGGGAGGGTGGGAGCTAACTCAGCCTTGGGCTCTTCATCCTCCCATCCTCCTGTCCTCCTGCTTGGCACATCCCCGCGTGCTGAGCTTGAGTTTCCATCTAGCTGAGGATGGCAGAGCAGGACAAGAGCAGAGCCCGGGCCTCTGGAAGCAGCTCAGACACCTGGGCAGCCTCTGGCGGCGTGCTTCACTTTTCCTCTTCAGAGCGCTCAGAAAAGGCTCTGTCACTCACAGGTGGCCATCAGCCTGACCAACGTGCCCAAGGCAACCAGAGCCCCTCCATGCTGACTCATTTACATATGGAGGCTCTGGGTGAGGTGATGTTTGAAAAAATGTCATTGCCTTAAAATAAAAATTGCTGAACACCATGACAGCAATGGAGCATTGTTTGAGAACAGTGACGACAGGGTCCCCAGTGCTGTGTGACCCCAGGAGAGCCCCCATTCCAGAGCAATGCTCAGTCTAGTCTGTCAATCCTGGTAGGAGGAGACTGACACTGCTCCCTGCTTCCCATCCTCAGTGAGGATCCACAACCCTTTCCCACCCTCTCTAGGTAACCATGCAAGCAACCTCAGCCTGCTGCCCTTCCTTGCCAGTAGCCAACTTGCCAGTAGCCAACCCTTTCCCTGTTTGTATTGATATGTTTATCTTTTTCTTAAGGACAACAAAGATATCTTTACATAAGGATATAAACTATCATAGAATTCCTCCAGGAAACATTTTGAGGGGTGAACCCTCAAAAATACTGTCATCCTTTTCGAAATGTCATTAAGTCTATTCTCCAACTTTCATTTGAATGGATTTCAGAAAATTCCCCACTCTTTTTTGACCTGGGTAAAGGGTCACTGGCCTCCTTGTGGTCATAGGGCAGTGGTATAATCTGGCAATTACCACTGGTACCAACTGATTACCACTGGTAATCTGGTAATTACCAGGTTACCAGGCAGTGGTAACCTGGGCACTGGGCCAGGTTACCTAGGTTCAACTCTGAACTCTTTTCATTCCTTACTCCTTAACCTCAGACATATTAGTTAACCTCTCTATGCCTCAGTCTCTCTACCTGTAAAATAGGAATAATAATGATATCTGCCTCATATTATTTTTCCCTTCAACATTTTCTATGTGCTTAATATAAAATGAGCCATTAAAGACCCAAACCCACCCTCTGTGGCTGGTTATGACCAGGATCAAAGGAAATAAAGTTCTCATAACAGGGCCCAACACATAATAAGTACTTTATAAATATAAATGTTAGTCATTCTATTAAAGCAAATATATTTAAAAAATTTGCCAAATCTGACAGAGCATACTTTTTCTTCATAAAGATTAGTTCTTAAATTTTTTTTATAAAACTTATGATTAAACATGTACTTATACATGTATCAGTTAAAAAGGAAATTTTAATTAGGTATTTCTCTATCTGAAAGATTTCTAAGGAAGGTTTTTATTAAATTCCAGCTATAAAATATATGAAATGTGCTTTATAAGCACATAGTAAAACAAAGGATGAATTTTTAAAAAGTGGGTAGGGTTATAGGTGGAAATAAAAATTCACATTCTTAAAATGCCAACTATATACCAGGTGCTTTGATAAATGATAGTATAGAAATAAAGAAATAAAAGTTGCTCCTTATCTCAAGGAGTCCAGAGTCCAACAGAAGAAAAGTACTTGAATAGTTAACATATGCTGTGGCCTAATATCTCTTGATATACACATCAAGTATTTGGGGAGTGAGTTTCTAAATAAAGCAGAAAAGGTATTTACTGGGGATATAACACAAATTCTTCTCTCACAAGAAAATATATGAAATAAGATATTTTGCCTGACAAGCAAGTATACTGCTACCTTGTACAATCTGATAACTCTAGCTATCTGTTTACATTTTTATATCATTAAGGCAATGATAGGTGACTTTTAGGAGAAAACATAATATGGGTTTACAGTCTGAATATGCAATTACATGACTTGGTCAAAATATTTAAACTCTGAATTTTAATTTCCTCCTACAGAAAAGGAGATATTGAACTAGTTGGCTGGGTTATTAAAAAGTTTAAATGAGAATAAAACTATTATTGTTACACAAATTTAATATATGAAAGACTTAAAAAAAAAACAGGGAGTAGCTATTTACTTAAGAATTCATTATGAAATCTGAATTCCTTTCAAAAGTATATTTTATAAGAAAGCAACTTTTAGGAAACGTAAGTATACTTCATGTCCGCTAAATGTGAGACCACCAACCAAGCTATTGAGACCAAAGTCACTAATGATCAATGTGGGGGCTACACTGACTATTCTATTGAACTGCCTGAACCACCAGACACTGAGTTCTCAAGACCAGTGTGGCTACAGTAGACTGTGCCAGGGAGAGAGGAGGGGATGATCAGTTGAGGTCTCTAAAGTCCTAACAAATGAGTGGTCAGAAGCAGGAGAGTGACAAAATCATCTCCTCTCCGGATCATTCTACTCCATGTTGCAGATACACAACCACTCCAAATGGCTCTTTCTGTCTATACACTTAAGTCTTATAAATAATAATGCATTTAGTTCAAAATGCACAACTTGAAATGGTATGGTATAAATCTAAGGGGATTTGAATAGTGTCAATTAAGTGAAACGAACAATAAAGTTGGTAATATCTTTTGTTTACATTCTTTTCTTCAATAAAAAGTTAGCAGAGAATTATAGGAAGCACATGTTACAATTTAAAAATTATTCTCAAACCAGATCTATTATTCAGTGTGTTCCATTCAGACTAAGTCATCTAAGCTGTTTAGGCCAACACCTCCTCACAGGTCAAACAAGGAAGACAAATGCCATGAGGATCTTGATCTAACAAGATCAAGATCAAGATGTTAGATCTTCTTGATCTAACAACACTGTATATTCTAATTATCTGCACACCTGCTTTTTGGTAAACCTCAAGCCCCCAGTTTTCCTACAGCCATGATGGATGAACCTCAGAGTCATGTGATCATGTGTTCGGGACACGTGCCAGATGGAAGATAACTTACCACCAGTGTGCTAGAAAAGAGTTGCAAAACACCATAGGAGGAGCCTGCAAAACACCAATTAATAACATCAATAAAATCAGCTAGACCTATGACAAAAATGAATTAATATGATTAACAATTACATAGAAATTGACAGAAAAACATTAGGGAACAAAGGCCATTTTTAAAAAAGGAACTTGCTCACAACTTTTTCCTAGTTGAAAAAATATAAATAATACAATGTTTAATAAAAGGCCGTCAAAATAAAACTGAGGGTAAGCAGAAGTGAGAGTAAAGGCAAGTGTTGACCTTAGGGACCCTTTAAGACAATTCTCCTTCCATCATGTGAGAACTGTGTAGCTCTAACTATAAAATTCCATAGAGAGTACTCAAGGGAATAGAAATTTGAATCCTAGAAAAATACTACTAACTCTTAAAATTTTAACATTGTCTCATATGCCTCTAATGTTTTGCAGTTTTATAAAATGCTTTAATCTTATACAGAATTTACAAAGTTCTACAGAGTCCTCTTACCTCCATTATCTATCATGTAACATGTCTCTTCTGCTTTTCCTAAAAACCTTCATGTCATTGGGTAGTCCAGTGTAATTCCAAGTACATTTTTCCAGGGAAATACAAATCATGGCACAGACCAGGACTTAACAAATATTATGTACAAAACTGTCCCCAAACACTTAAGTTTCTGAATGATCGAGGGCTGTTAGTCTTAACGATTTCTCATTAATTAATGAGTCCTAAGCACTGCTCTCTCCTGCCTATTTCCTAAATCAATGTCTTCTGGATGGAATTTTTACGATACACAGGCCGAGAAACCCTACCGTCCTCTATAATATGTTGGTGGTGGTGTGGGAAATTTGCAACTAATTTTCCAAGGCTCATCCAAACCCTTTTCCACACTGTGTGAGTTTTGTGGACTGTGTTTCTCTCCCATTAGGTTATGGGTTCCTGTAGGCAGGAGTCCATACCTACCCTTTAATACACAGAGCCAGCTGCTCCATGAAGCTCAGTAAGTGCCTGTTACATCACTAGTGATGTGAGACACGGGGCTAATGCTCAAACCTCAAAACCTCTTTGAACACAGGTAGTCTAGGAAAAGATGAATTATATTTGCTCTAGGGTAGTATTTTTAGATGTTCTGGAAATTTGTTTTATCTAATTTTCCACTTACCTTTGGGTAATATTTAGCTGTAAGACTACATTGTTTTCAGGTACTTAGTTCAGAGGCTTTAAAATTCAATGCTATGAAAATGAGCAGTATTGACCACACACCTACTATTCCAGCAACTGTTGGACTTGCTCCAAGGGACTTGATGTGAAGGCTCAATAAAGGGACAACCATGCTGACACCAAACAAATCCTAAAAGAAAACAAATAATGATTGATTCAAATTAGTAATCAAAGCCTAGGTGTTTTTAAACTAGTAAACCTAAAGTTATAAACTGTTTTTAAAAACAAAACCAATATCCAAAAGTTTGAGCCAACTAGAAATTATAATTGTATTCTATAGTACATTATACTAATCAGTTGCCACCTGTAAATGCCTGGATTACCCTAGCCTAGAATCCATTTTGGCTTTACCTCCTTTGTAACTGACTATTTTTCTTCTTTTTTGCAAATTAATTATATTGTCTATATATCTTTGAACATTTTTTAAGTTCTTTGAACACATTAGCAAACTTTATACTTCTTAAATATATTTTAATTAGATTTTCTTTAAATAACCAAGCATTGAAAACTTTATAAAAACATTAATTATTCTAAAATGGTTGAGGTTCCTTTTTTCCCTTAAAGAGTCTAACGGGGGTGGAGGGGGGGGGTCTTTTGTAGACACATCCATTTTCCAAGGGTGTAACTGACGCTTAACATTCAAGGAAGATATGCTACAAAAGTTCGTCAAATAAAATAAGCAAATGACCCAAAATTTTCTGTGGATAATGAAGTGGGGAAAAAATGGAGGCATAATTCATATTTATTGATGAAGCCAAACTTGCATGAAAATATAAATTTCCTTCTGGAGGTAGCAAAAGCAACCAGTGTCCTAGAACCTGTGGTTTACAGCCTTACAAAGTGATAGATACCTGAGAAGAAAGGCTCAGTATAGCAGGAAGGAGAGAAGGCTGGTGTACTGTGGGAAGGCCAACTCTTTGCAGCTAAGTCATAAAAAGTACATGAGCTTTGGGGTCAGACAGACAGTTCTCAATTACAGCTCCATTACTTACTAAACTGTGTCCTTGGAAAGTTATTTAAAATTGCCAAGCTTTGCTGCTGTCATCTATAAAAAAGAAGAAGAACTGCCTGAACATTAAGTGACATAATGGCTGAGGAAGGCCTGATATATGATAGAAGCTCAAACATATCTTCTCCTTTCTTCAGTTCTGGGGACAAATATGGATCCGTTTTGCTAGTTTGCTAAGTTAATAGGCAGACTTTCATTTTTTCCTTTAAGCTTTTTTCTCGTTCTTATTTTACTTGGTCACTTATTACAACTGGCTTAGAAGAAGAAATATTGCACACACAGTTTTCTTTATATTTAACCTGGATTCCTTCTCCCATAAACCTGGTTAAGCGAACAGAAAGAACATGCATGCGAAATATTTTTTTCTTTGGGTCCAGAGTTAATCTTTTGCTTTTGCTCTCCCCACCAAACTGTGCATTCACATAATTATGGAAACATAAACTTCCACATACACTTTTGGTGGGCCTTTTCCATGGTTACATCTTTAGATGGCCATATATCTAATATCTAGTGATCTTAAATAGTTCATGAATTTCCATTAGCATAATAATGGTTTATTATTTCTATTTTACAATTATTTAAAATTTATTCTGGGTCTGAGCCAATTTCTTTTGTGCTTTATTGTCATTTGTACCCCATCAGCCTACTGATGTTTTCATCATTTAAAAGACTCATAATGCAACAGCCACCTATTGAGTCTTCTGGATCTTTCAGAAAAGGAAACTCAATTGCCCTGAAAGGTATTTTTTTCTTAAAAAAATACCAGTACCACATGTCATTTAATATTCAAATGGTTAGTCTAAATATAGGATAAAGGGAAATATTTAAGTCCATTAGCTGAGGTCTATGGAAGGTAAATACAAAAATACAGAATCATAAGCAATAACTGATAACTGCTATTATTTTAGCACTTTGTGAGTTCAAAAACATACTATCTTTTCCCAAGGAGGATAGCCACTGTTTCCTCTCAGGAAGTTCCATTCTAAAATTGTTTTCTCCTTTACTATAAAAGGTAACTCCTCTCTGCTTCTGAATCCACAGCTTCTTCAAAACCACCACAATGAGGCACATTGCATTTGGGGACTGTTCATGTTCATTTATAAGGAAGTCAGGTCAGAGGTGGCCACTTAAACCTTTCACTGAACCTCAACATTTCTCAATAAAAACTGAGGAATGCATATATTCAAAAGTTTCAGGACCCTTTGCAGGGTAGGAATCCCAGTATTTCTTGATTAGTAGATTAGTATCTCAACAAAAATAAATTATCACCTCACTAACACTGATGAAATGGAAAACAAATCTTACCACTTATCTGGAGGAAAGAAGTGGTTGAAATAATAGATCTCAGCACCATCTTAACATCCTAACCAAAAGATGGCCTAAAGGGTCATCTTATTCTTCTCTCTAAAACAAATTAAAACCTGGAAGTACTGATAAGAGCTAAATCCAGAACATTTTAGCAAATGACTTCTCTAATCTTGTTCCCTTCCTCTCCCAAATCAAAAACCATTTTCCCCAAGAGTCTCAGGGGTCTTTACATCTCTAAATTTGTGAAAAATAATGAAATTATGTATAATATTCCTTAGATGTTATCTAACAAAAAGTCATTAGATCCTTCAAGGAGACACAAAATAACATGCATTTTAATTGTTTATGACGTTTTTCATTTTAAAAATCCCTACTCCCTTTTAACTTCTTAGAAATCTCACATTTCTCCTTGAACACAGTAGCATTAGACACCTAATGATTCTCTTGGATACATTATTAAAGTTATTGAAATTTTACATCAGGCTTGCTGTATTATACCTGCTAAGTATACAGCAACAAGACAACAAATGAGAAGCTGGGAATATTCAAATCTGTACTGGAAGGCTGGCCATAATAAATGATCTGTGAATTGCTTTGTCTTGTTGTAAAACTCAAACTATTTTGAATTATAGGTCATGTCAGTTTCCAAACTCTCTGAACCCTAGACTGGACTTTCCAGGTAAGGGCTAGAATTTTTTCAACTGGCAAAACCAGCCCAAGTACCTTCTGAGATAGGGCAGCTTGGGGTCCACATCTACCAGAGGGTGGATGGTAGCCAACTCCCTTTCCTAGTTTGAAGAACCACCCACACTTGCTGGTTTGAATTCTAGGTGAAATTGCCTGGAAAGTAAAAGAAGCACCTGCATCCTGAGACTGAAATAATAGAGATTAAAGGGACAGGGGTCAGAAGGAGTGCCAGATTCTGAAGTCAAAGGCATGAAGCCTGAGGGTGGGGCCTGCAATGAGAACTGAAGGCAGAAATCCTCTCTAAAAAGTCACCCTTCCTGAGTGTCTCGTGGTTCTGTTTACAGCAATTTGCAGCATACGCTTTCACTATGGTCTTAACTGTTAATTCAACATAGAACCTTTACTGACTGTTGGACACCTTGCATGCAGGAGGAGGGATAGAGACTGCCTCTCTGCTCCTGTCCTACCTACACATGGCTCAGCATCCTAACTCCAACTCTAGCGAAGCGGCAGACTGGGGAGAAGTGGTGGTCTGAAACTGCATCTGGGCTGAAAACAATGAGTCCCCTTCGCCAGGGCCCAGTGCCACCAGACACTACCTTCAAGGCCTCTTGGAAGGCAGCATTCTCCATTGAGTCTTCATTTATGCTCAAGATACAGTCCCAGCAAAGGGAAAATACTACTGGGCTCTTATTCCAGGTCTGTCCTAAACTGGACCCACAACCAGGGCTACTGGACCAGGCCTAGACTTGGAAAAGGAGGCGTAAGGAGGTGAATCTAGGGTTTCTGTAATGGCCCAGAAACTACCAACATAAACTTATTAATCAGATGGTAAGTTCTTCAGTGGCAGAACTGTGTGTTACAATATTGGAGCACCACAGCACCTACCACATGGCAAGTATTCAGAAACTCCATGAATCAGCTTTCTAAACTTTCCATTCTATCCGGGAAATTACTATTTAGGGGCCAAACCAGGACATGCACCCAAATCATGACGAAACCAAACCTGTGTTGTGCAACAGACACAGTTTCACTGACAGGCGGATGTATACAGTTCACTCCAATTTGCACTTTTAAACATTCAAGCCAACCAAAAACCCTAAACAAATGTGCCTAATTCTGTGCAAGCGGGGTCGTCACTACCCATTCTGAGAAGAGGGCCTATGTGTCCTACGGTGCCAAGCAGCCACCGTAGTAGCTGGGCTTTCCCAAGCTTGCTCAGGCGCGTTTTCCGCCCTGCAACCCCTGCACCTGCCACAGCATTTAACACCTGGGTCACAAGGAGTCCCACATGAAGCCGGTGTCAAGGCCCCTTAAACAGCAGGGAGCGGCAGGGGAGGTGAGCCCAGGTGCCAGCGCGCGCGGGCGACAAGGCGCTGGGGCCAGGTGCAGAGTGAAAGGAGTGATGGGGACGGAGGAGGCACCGACCAGGCGGACCGCTCTGGGAGCCCCAAGAAAAAGCGCCCCGCCTGGGTCCCAAGCCCGCAGGAGTCAGCACTCGGCCCCCAGCCCCAGCCCCCGCACTCACCAAGAAGCCCACCAGGTAGAGACAGAGCAGGAAGCGGCGGGCTCGGACAGCACCGGGGCCGGCAGCCCCCGCCTCGGCCTCTGTCCTCCGCTTCTGCCCCGACTCCGGGGTCGCCGAGGCCAGCCCCGGGGCGGAGCCCAGGCCGCGGCGACCCTCGAGCTCCATCCCGGCGCGGACGGGGTTCGCGGACGCCGCAGCAGCCGCCCGGCCGGCCTGGGCGCGCCAGCCCCACCCCGAGCGGAAGCCCGCGGCGCGCGCCTGCGCAGACGGAGCTCCGCGGGGTGGCTGCTCCGCGGCTGGGCGGTTTGGCGGCGCGACGACGCCTCCCGGGTGGGGTTGGGTGGGTCCGGTGGGGCAGGGACAGGGACAGGGCAGTCCACCAGCCCAGCGTCTTAGGCAGGCTCCAGTTTTGTGATGATAATGGTGATGCTTTGTGTTCCCTCTGGATAAAAAACCCCTGCGGTCTCTGTCCCTGGAGGGTGAGAGGGAACTGTGATGAGTGTCACCTCCCGGGGGTGGCCAACCCCAGGTTGAAGAGCCACGGACTCTCGCCACAAGTTGGCTGTGACAGGCGTGATGTAAGTTAGTGTGGCTCTCCAGGCTTCCATTTGCCTATTTGAAAAAACGAGGAGGGGAAATAATGTAGGCCAATGTCTAGAGTTGTAGGAATTTACCTGAGCTTTATTGATTGCTTTCTCCAGAGCTGTAAGCACCAAGGAGCTTGGCCTTCTGAAGGTCCACGGAAAAATCAACTTGCAAAAGAAAGATTAATTGTAGAAAAGGCATACCGATTTATTTAACATGTATACACGGGAGCCTTCAGAATGAAGACCTCAAGATACAGGGGAAACTGTCCGTTTTTATGTTTAGGGTCAACAAAGTATGGATAGCTGTGTAGAAATATGGACTGGACAAAATGGGAATGATCTAATGCTAATAGACTGAATAGGGAAACCCAACAAAGCCTGTCTGCCTAGATTTTTCTTGGCCTCTCTGAGTACACATTTTTTTCCTTCTGGGCATGAGGCAGGATCCTCTCTGGAATAGGGGGTCTTATCATCTACATTCAAACAAGGTAGGTCAGATAATTTCTTTATGGCCAATTCTTACATAAAAAGGGTAAGGGTAGTTAAAGTAATATTTTTAAGTTTTTGTGGTTGGTTTTGGGGAAAAGGAGTTCTGTTTTCTGTGACCTGCCTTAAGGAAAAGGAATTCCAGTTTCTATGGCTAACCTTGGGAGAGAATGGGACTGGGAGGCAGGACAATAGGAGAAGGTTAGAGAAAAACTTTTGCTTCTTAGGCTTTGATTTTGGGCTATTGTTTTCTGAGCCCCAACACTGCACAGTATGAACAAGCCAGAGATGATCTCTGCCTGAGTTGAGGTTACAGTCTCATGGAGTAATAATAATAAGCACACAATAAATAAACACCATAAATAAAAAAAAATCCAACAAAGAAATAAAAGCACGCAATAAATAAATAATATTATGACAAATGATATAAGAAAGCAAGGTCTTGATGTGGAGACTAATGAGGTGGGAAAGAGTTAACTTTAGAAAGGTGGTTTGGAGGAGGTAATGTGTAGGCTCAGAAGAGTTGAAAGATGTGTGTGCCTGCAACTTTCTAAACAAATTGAGAAGTCAGAGAGGTAGGCAGGGATGCAAATCATTTAGGAGTAGAAGTTCATGAAAGAGCTTTGGTGCCTTATTCTGAATGCAATGAAAGGAATTAAGTGGGTGTGTGGCCCAAAATAATGTCTTTAAATTATTTAGCAAAGTACTTGCCATATGTTAAGTACTTAATAAATATTAACTATGGTTACTAGTCCCTCTTTTCTTCATAAACCTATTTCATTACTTGTTGCTTTTTCACTCTGGTATACAGAAAAGTCTGACATTTTACTGAGATTTCGCTCAAAATTTTAATTTTTCAGGTTGCTGAATTCTGATATCTGTTGAATTTAATCTTGCAAAGCTTTCCATGCAAAAGTCAGGGAACTGTTCAGGAAGGAATGGGATACTGAGACTTAGAATGGAGACACAGGATTGAATCTAGATGAAATGGACAATCTCGAACCCCCAAGTCACTCTGATCCTTTTTTGCCAATAGAACTAGTTTGCTCTGTCATATCTGAAGAAACTAGCCCTCCTGTGCTTGAAATTTTGTGATTAACTCATTTGGGAAAGGGGCCTTGAAGGATGCCCATGTACCTCAAAACCCATCAAAACCCTCCACTTTGGCCATTAAATACATAACTAGGGTAAAATCTCAGCAGGCTTCAGGGGACAGATATACACTATGACCTGGGAGGAAATTGCTTACACCCCAAAAGAATTGGAAGACTCAGTTAATACAGAATCAACAGAAAACTTAATAACATATTGCGGGGGTGGGGGGATCTTTAAAGGTGCTAAATCAAGGAGAGAAAAATATAACACTATATTAGACAGAACTCACAGATATGGGAGGATTTACTAGAGATTCTAGATGTAATATGTTAGCTTGTGTAGCTGGAGGCAGGTCTAATAGTTTACTTGGTGGGTTGACTGAAACTTGAATTCAAAGGTGGCCTACATTTAATGAAGTTTAGATGCCATAATTTTTTCTGGCAAGATGTGGAGAAGGGACTCCAAAACCTTGGCAAGAATGTCAGAGTGGATTTACCATGTATGACCTACAATCCTAATCCCCAAATATATTTCACAAAAAAGCCCAGAAGACACTCCCTTCACCAAGGCATTGAAGAATATGTTAGTGGGAGATGCACTTGCATTCTTGAAAAGATTTGTGATTGCTGTCTTTTGTAGACCAGATATAGCCATGTGGGATACCACCACTGAGATGAGTTCTCTGATTTAAATGAGGATGAGATATCCAAATTATCAGAGGTTAGGTCACAGCATTTAAACTTCAAAGATAAGGTGGACACATTTACTGTTAAGGGCATCATGATGCACCAGTAACCAATAATCAGAATCCCTTAGCCTGTAGGGATCTTAAACTATGGCTAATTGACTGTCATATTACTAGGAATGAAATAGAAAGCCTACCAGGGTACTGTTTAAGTTATGTAACAGAAAATTCTAGGTCTGGTACCCCAAACCACCACAAATCAAGAGAATTACAGCATCTTGCTCAATTACTGGACCTATTTCAATTGACAAACAGAGCCCCTTGATTGAAGGGAAGTCCAGGTAACCTCAAAGAAGAATCTTGTAGCATTCACATGAGTACATACCATAAATGTTCCTCCAAGCTTGCCCCTAAAGAAACTGTAGCCATTTACTAGAGTGACTGTATATAGCAAAAGGGAATACCCAGTTCTTTGGGAGATTACTGGACACCGGCTCTGAATTTACACTAATTCTTCGAGACCCAAAATACTACGTGTGTCCCACAAGTCAAAGTAGAGCTATATTGGGAGTCTCCAAGACCACACCCCCTAGATTCAATTAATTATTAGGAGGATTCACAGAATGCAACCAATAGTCATACCTGTGGTTAAGATTTATTACAGGAAAAAGATACAAAGCAAAATCAGCAGAGTGATTTACAGGGTGTGAAGTCTGAAGGAAAACAGGCACAGGATTCTAAAAGTCTTCTCCCAGTAACATCACACAGGACATGATTAATTCCTCCAGCAATGAGTTGTGATGACACATGTGAAATATCATCTACCATGGAAGTTCACTAGAGATTTAGTGCTTTTGTGTGTGGGGGGGGGGAGCGGGGGGTTGTTATATATGCCCTTCTCTATTTAGCATCTGTCAAAACACCAGACTCCCTGAAAGAAAGCAGGCATTTAGCATAAACCATATTGTTTGTAGATACAGTTTAGGCACAGTGAGTCACTCTTACAAGTTAGGATGGTGGGAATACTCCTTAAATCTGAGTTCCCAGACACCAGCCAAGGGACAATATTTTAAGTAGAGCTTTTAAAGGATAATAGTCAGGTCTGCCATGTTAACTCTTTTTTTTTTTTTTGCATAAGAGTAGTCAGGTAATAAGTGGAATTTTATCTCAAGTTTGACTCACAGTAGGTCCAGTTGATCTATAGATATCCTTAGTTCCTGAGCATATAACTAGAATAGCGTACTCAACAAATGACAGTATTCACATATTAGCTCTCTGACTCATAGGTGAGCTCCTTTGTGGCATAAAAGGCTAAGTGGGCGCCCCTAGAACTTTCTTACCAAGATAGTAAAACAAAAGCAATACTTCCTTCTAGGGGAATTAAAGAGATTGTTATCATAAAAGGCTTACAAGAAACAAAAGTGGTCATACCTATCACACTCCCATTCAACTCATCTGTTTGGCATGTGAAGAAGTCAGGTGGATCATGGAGAATGACTATGCGCTATCACAAACATGGTCAGGTGATGACTGCAACTGCAGCTGGTGTCCCAGATACACCTTTACTGGGATAAACCAACATGGCCCCTGGTACTTGATAATCAGCTACTGTTCTGGCTTATGCTTTTTTAGTCCATAAATATTTATAGGGACGAACTGAGAAAAACAATTTGCTTTTACTTCACAGTATCCACAGTGCAGATTCAGAGTTTTGCCTCAGGGCTGTGTCAGTTCTTCTGCCTCTTGCCATAATAATGTAGTTCACAGAGATCTTCATTATTGTGACTTTCCATATAACATCCCAGTTGTCTTCTACATTTACAACTTTGTACTGAGTGGATCTGATATGCAAGATATAGTAAGTACTTTAAGTAACTAAGTAGGATATATGCAAATTGGAGTATAGGATAGGAGATAAATCCCACAAAAATGTGGGGCTCTCTACATTGAAGCTTCTGATGGTTCAGTGGTCTGAACAGGTAAAGTTATCACCTGCAAGGGCAAATATGGGTTACTGTATATCTTACCACCTACCATGAAAGAAGAGGCACGATTCTTGGCAGGCCCTTTTGGATATTGGAGGCAACGTGTATCACATTTGAGTGTGCTGCTTCAAGTCTGTAAGTCTGCACAGATATGTTTGCATGATATTGTGATGCCACCTTAAAGTGGACATCAGTAGAACTATAGTACTATCTAGGAGTGACTCTAAAGGACAGCGGTGAAGGAAAATATTCCCAGTTGTTAGAACTTCAAGTGGCACTTTTGTTGCCCACTTTGTCTGAAATGAGTGTTGGCCAAAAAACAAAACCAAACCAAACAAAACAAAAAACCATGCTATTCATGGA